CATTCCTGCAACTGCATTTATTTATATTTTGTTTTATATAACTTGTTACTTCTATAACATATTATTACTTAAATATACTATTTATATATTTATCTCCAAAAAACTGTCACCTACAGAGGACAGAGATTTTCTAATTACTCTTCACCATCTGTGTGGAGAACATCATTATCATCATGCATAGCTGTCATAAATATTTGTTCATTTGACTTAAAGGTGTAAGATATACCATATTGCTCATCTAATCATGATCTATACCCAGTAACTATTTCTTACATGTTTCTCCACCTTTGGGTTTAAACATGCTAAAGACTGGTGCTTTTTGTATTTATTGTTTTTAAAAGAACATCTTTTGTTTATTTTAAAGACATCTAAGTTGGGAGTAGAAAATGGGGAGATATAAAAATGCCCAATGGACATGTGGAAGCCAGATACAAATGAGATCATACTATATGATACCATTTATATGAAATTCAAGAACAGGTAAAATTAATTACAAGTGAAAAGAATTAAAACAGCATTTACTTCAGAGTGGGGGAAAACAGACTGGCAAGAGGCATGAGGGAACTTTATGCTGCACTACAAATATTTTATACGTTGACTGGGGTGTAGGTGACATGAATGGACACATATATAAACATTTATGGGGCTTCCACTTAAAAAGAGAGTATCTGCTCACCTTGCTCTGTGCATAACACCATTTAAAAATCAAAACAGGTGACAGCATCACGGTGACCTGGCCGATCCTCTTTTCTATCTCCTCCGACTTACAACTAATAGGACAGCCCCCTAAACCAAAGTGCCCTGCACGGCACTCCAGTACCCCCAGGATCCATCCACCTGCGGATCCACAGTGGGTGGGCTTGATCAGCAGGAGGCTACAGAGCCCCGGAGTCACAGCAGCGGTGACTCCAGGGGGCAGCAGAGGCCGTTCTCGCAGGCGAGGTGGAAAGTGAAAGTGGGCCTGGCCACCAGGAGGCTGCCGCTGGGGGAGCCTGTGCTCTTCAGCACCTGCTTCCAGAGGACAGACCCCGGGGACTGGGGAGGCAAAGGAGAGGGAAGAAGGCAGACAAGAGCACTGCGTGTCCTGCTGTGGCCCACAGACCTCTGGGACCCCCCACCTTGAGGATCCCCTCACCAGGCCGTGAGCACACCCACAGCCCCAGGTGTTAAGCACACACCTCGCCCTCCCCTGCCACCAGCACATTTAAGCAGAATCAAAGTTGTAAGTCAGTAACTTTCAGACAAACCAAAACCGTGTGCTATCGCCACTTTCTGGAAAACAAAAGAACGGCTTCTGGGTGCCAAGCTATTGAGCTGTTAGAACCAAAGTAAACCAAGCCTTACCTAAATAAGAAAGAGATTTGCTCTTCAAATGTGATGACAGAGGCACATTTCATGAAACACTGAAAGAGCACAGTTAATACAAAAAGAAAATGACAATTCTCCAGCAACCAAACTCAAAGACATGGAATGCTGAAATCTGATAAAGAATTCAAAATAGCTGTCATGAAGAAATTCAACAAACTAAAAGAAAACTCAGAAAGGCAATTCAGTGAACTCTGGAATAAAAATAATGAACAGAATAAGTAATTTCCCAAAGAGGTTTAAATTAAAAAACCAAGGAAAAATTCTGGAGCTGAAGAACTCAATAAATGAGATGAAGAATGCATTAGAAAGTGCTGGAAATAGAGTAAACCACATGGAAGAGAGAATAGCACTCTGTATGATAGGTATTAGAAATGACTCAGGTGGAAAAGAGAGAATTAATATTTTTAAAAGTGAAGAAAACCTGTAATAGTTATCTGACTCCATCAGAGAAGCCAATATATGAATAATGGGTATACCAGAAGTCCAGGGGATGGCGAAAGAGAGAATTTAATTAAAGAAATAGTAGATAAGAACTTACCAAGCATGGGGAAAAGAACTAGACATGCAAGTCCACAAAGCTGATAGAATACTTTACTATCTCAATACAAAAAGACCTTGGAGCCTGGCCGGCCAGCATGGCTCAGTGGTTGAGCATCAACCTATGAAGCAGGTCACAGTTTGATTCCTGGTTAGGGCACATGCCTGGGTTGTCAGCTCGTTCCCCAATGGGGGGCCTGCAGGAGGCAGCCGATCAATGATTCTCTCTCATCACTGATGTTTCTATCTCTCTCCCCCTCTCCCTTCCTCTCTGAAATCAATAAAAATATAAAATTAAAAAAAAAAACCTTTAACACACATTCAATAAATTATCAAAGTCAATGACCAAGACCTAATTTTAAGGACAACTAGGGGGGAAAAGAAGTAAACTACAAAGGAACCCCATTAGGCTATCAGCAGATTTCTCAGAGGAAATTCTACAGTTCAGGAGAAGATGGAATCACATACTCAAAGTACTGAAAGGTAAAAACTGCCAGCCAGGAATACTCTACATTAAGGAGAAATAACGGCTTTCCCAGAGAAACAAACGCTGAGTGAGTCCACTGCCCGATCTGCCTTACAAGAAATGCTGAAATGGCCTCTTCAAGCTAAAATGAGAAGATTAAGTGACAGTCAGAAGTAGAAAACGAACTCTATTTTAGATTAGTGTTAAATAATTATAGCAAACGCTGAAGGGAAAAAGCATTGAAAATTAACTATAGCTACTACTATTTGGTAACAAATTCGCACTAAAGAGAAATAATTTGTGACATCAAAAATATAAAAAGGGAGGAGTAAAAGGACAGAACCTTTGTAGGTGAATGAAAATAAAAAGGACTATTTTGTCTATGAGATGTTTTATGTAAACCTCATGGTAATCACAAAGCAAAACTATAGAGCATAGACTCAAAACAAAAACGGGGGTGAGGGGAGAACGAGCATATCACCATGGAAACCCATCAATTTACAAAAGTGAACAGTAACAGAAGGAAAGAGGGGGGAATGGAAATTCAAAATCACCAGAAGGAAAAAGGATAAAATAATAGTAGTAAGTCCTTACATATCAATAATCACCATGAATGTGAATGGACTGAACTCACCAATCAAAAGGCACAGAGTGGCTGGCTGGACTAGAAAACAAGACCCAACTAGATGCTGCCTGCAGGAGACTCATTTCAGCCTTAAAGGCACATAGAGGCGCAAAGGGCAAGGATAAAGGATGAAGCATGATATGGAACCACCTACATGCACATCAATGAACAGATGGATAAGATGTGGTACACACACATGTGATGGGATATTATTCAGCCACGACAAAGGAAGATATCCTGTCATCTGCGACAATGTGGCTGGACCACGAGGACATTATGCTGAGTTGAGATAAGTCAGACTGAGAAAGTAAAGGACTGTATGATGTCACTTTTACGTGAAATTCACTAAATATACCAAGTTAACACTATACACCTTAAATTTATTCAATGTTATAGGTCAAACATATTTAATAAAAAATAAAAACTAATTTGCATGAAAAGGGAGAGTAATTTACATGCAGCAACATATTGAAAAAACAAAAAATTGTCTGTTTTATTGATGTCTACAGAGTCTCTCTCTATTGGGCCTCCAAAGCATAAAAGCAAAATTTTATTATTGTAAAACTTTCTCTTTTAATAGCTACAAGTTTCTTGACTATTGCTGGAAGCCGGTCCATCCTTGCTGCTTGACACAGTCGCTGCAGGGAAGAAACATTTGCACAGCATATGTTTCAAGGGACCTGGCGTATATGGCATACTGTTCTTAATATGTTTGCTCCCCTTCTTGGTGCTATGTGTTTTAACCAAGGTCACCTCTCCGAGAAAGGTTGTTTCCCCAGGTGGAGATTTTTCCCTGGAGTTAGGGATTAACAGGACTAAGGAAGGGAATAAATCAGTAAAACCCCTTAACCTAGTGCAGTGTCTCTCTCTACTGGGCCTCCAAAGGCCCAGGCAGGTATTTAATCACCTTAACTACGAATAATCACGCTTAAGCTACATAATCGTTACTTAGGATAATCTCCTTTAGTTACTTCCTTGTAGCTTAACAGAACAGTAGAGTAGTGACCTTGGAATGGAGATAACAAACGCCCTAACCCTTGAAATAGAACGGATAGGATTAAAATCAAATGGTATAAATACAGATGTAACAGGAGAATAGAGAGAGAACCTGACGAGAACCTGGCTATGCTGATCAACTGAACGCTGTCTCGTGTCATTCCTTCTTCGCCAACTCCGTTCATACCTTTGGGAACCCCTGGGCCTGCTGGGGCTGGACCCCAACAGACTATTTATATGCACACTGTTTCATTTGATGTCACGAAACGAATTAAGTAGAATACATTGCAGGTTACATCCTGTATGTTGGAGAAAATAAAGCAGCAAAGTGGGGGAGTGAGTGCTGGGAATGAAGGGAGATTCCATTTCCAATAGAATGGTCAGGAAAGAATTCACTGGGAGGTAGCATTCAGGTAGAGCCTGCAGGAGGTAAGGGGATGAATCACGTGTGTCCATGTGCACACCACAGGAAGAACACTGACAGCAGGACAAGAGCTACAGCCAAGGCCCGGAGGTGGGGATGTGCCTAGTTCGTGGAGAGAAGAGCCAGGAGCCCAGCGTGGCCAGGATAGAAAGAACAAAGGAGAGAGGAGAAAGGGATGCAGCCAGAAAGGGGAGTACCAGCTGGATGGTATGTGAAATGAGTTTGAGAGAGAGCAAGGAAGGAACAGTTAGGAAGCTATTGCAGGAATACAGGTGAGAGCTGATGATGATTTGAAACAGGTGGCAACACCACAGGGCGTGGCCAGCAGATTCCAGGCTGACTATAGTGGCAAAGCTGCCCTGCTCTGCTGATGGGTCAGACATGAGGTGTAAGAGTGAGAGGGTTAAAGATAACTCTAAGGCGTTAGTTCAGAACAACTCAAATCATGGAGGATTCTGGAGGATTCTAACATTTAGTCATCAAAGAGTGAAGGAGACATCAGCAAATGAGACTGAGAATAACTGGCTTTTAAGAAAAAGACAACCAGGAGATTAAAGTGCCCCACAAGCCAAAAGCAGAAAGAGCTATTCGGAGGGGGGAGTGGTCAAGAGGGTGAAACGCTGATGGGTGACACGATGACCACTGGGAAATGATTGTTGGCTTTTGCAACACAGGGTAGGACAATGGGCAAAGGAAAAAGTAGGACTACTGGGCAGGATGAAGACTCAATTTGAGATCAGTGTTCATGAATGTGAAGCAGTCGGCATGTTGTGTGTTTTAAGTAAACTACCTTCAGCGCAGTTAGCGTGTATGTAACAGGACTGGAGTGCTACCACAGGCGTCTGACAAACTAAAAGGGGGCAACAGACTGGAGGGTGTGAGGAAGGGTGTGATGACAGATGACACGGCGCGAGAACTGAGAGCAGAAGGGGAGCCGTGGCGGAGGGATAGAATTGTAGGTGACAGTGGGACTTATACTCTGATAGACAAAGCATCCGAATTAACCTGAAAAAGAATCATATTATTTTAAATCTTAGAACATGTGTACTTATCTGAATATGGGGTTAAGTTTTCTTAAGTTTCGTTTTCAAGGCCTGTGTGAAGGGACTGAGGTGGTGACTCAGCTGTGAATCCAGCAAGTGGAACCAATAAGCAGGGTCAGACCGACCCATCAGAAGTCAAAACATCATCCCATCAACATCATCTCATTGAAGGACAACAGCTGACGTCTGCGGACCTCCAAGGCTGCCCGTAGCTGCATTCCGTCCCCGCCTCCCCTAAGCCCCTTCCCCTTTGTAGTCCTGTCCCCTGCACCTGCTGTAAGACAGGATCTGAATGCTTGTAAGCGCCCTGTCTCCCTGGGTGGCTGCCTTCCTGATAACGCCTATATGATCCAACCCTGCCTTGGCATAGGGCACAGCGACAGGCAGCCCAGCCCCACCAGGGTTTTCCAGATAACACAGGTGATGGCGGAAGTAAAGGAATATTGGAGTGAAGTCACCAGAGGGAGTTCACTAGAAAATTACAAGCAAGAGATTATGTGAGGTTTGCCTGAAGTAGGAATTAATAAAGAATTTTAGATACGGTAATCTCAAGATACCCTGCTATCACGAGAAGGAGTGGAGGAGGTACAGCTGGAAGACAAAATCATCCAAGGTAAGGAATTGAGACCAAGAAGTAAGAACATTAAAAGCTTCACCAACGTGCATCTGATTTTTCTTTGTTAATCCTCACCTGAGGATATTTTTTCCATTGCTTCTCAGAGAGAGTGAGAGGAGATTGGGGGGGCGGGGAGAGAGGGAGAGAGAGAGAGAAACATCAACGTGATGTGTCAACTGGTTGCTTCCTGCATGCACCCTGGCAGGGGCAGGGAGCGAACCTGCAACTTAGGTACAAGGCCTTGACCAGGAATAGAACCCTTCAGTCCCTGGGCTGACGCTCTAACTACTGAACCACACCAGCCAGAGCACCAAGGTGCATTTTAAAATTATCAAATATTACACACTACTCCTGCTGTAGAGAATGAGTTTGCTAAGAGCTAGAAGTTTTAAAGGCCGAGGAAATAGAACAGGAAAAGCAATATAACATGTTTTACTAGGATGAGAAGGGTTTCTTTTTTCCTAGTAGTCGCATTTTCCTCTCCCTAGAGACATTTATTCCCACACATTTTTATAGTGTGTGTGTGTATGTGTGTTTATACATGTACATACATACACCTGTGGAAACAAATGCCATTTTGTTTACTGTTAATTTTGTGCCTTTACATAAATATTATACTGTATTCTCCATAAATTTCAACAACTTAATTTTTTTCTACTTAATAAAAAAACTTTTTTCAAGATAAAACCACCACTTATAATGAACAGTCCTAACACTGTGAGTCCACCTCAAAAAAGGAAAAGTGTTATCTTTAAAATATATTTACCTTGAAGCTTTCTACTAAGTTCAAGCTTTTCCTGTTCAAGGCGTTTAATCCTTCTCTCATAAGCTTCGGTGGCTAAGTTGTTGTCTAGAGTCCTCTGAACGTTAGCATCAAGATCCAGAGAAGTGGGAGCAGCTGTCACTCTTAAACAGCTCCGATCAGAAAGAACACTGGAGAAAAGACAACAAGGTGGGTTCACACTGAACAACAACTCGAAAACCTTGTGAAACATGGATTTGAACATCTAGTTACAGTTAGCCATCTAGAATGACTGTAAAGCGCTTTTTTTTCCAAAATCAGCATAAACAACTTTTTAGAAGCATTTTTAAAAATGAAAACTTAAATTGCCCAAATTACCCTGTATTTCTTTTAATAAACAAAAAATTATAAAATGACGTTTGCTGAAGGGTTATTGGTAGCTTGAAACGATGTAACCATCACTGTGAATTACCAGTCAAAAACACCAACCATGGGCAAAACACTTTTTTTTTCAAAATCAGCATAAACAACTTTTTAGAAGCATTTTTAAAAATGAAAACTTAAATTGCCCAAATTACCCTGTATTTCTTTTAATAAACAAAAAATTATAAAATGACGTTTGCTGAAGGGTTATTGGTAGCTTGAAACGATGTAACCATCACTGTGAATTACCAGTCAAAAACACCAACCATGGGCCGCTTCACTGGAATTGGGAATGCAAAGGTGAAATGCTTTCTTTAATGCCATGCAATTAGAAAAAAACCTATCTGAAGTCCTGGACACTCAGAAGTGAGCACAACAAAACTTGCCCAATGTGGAGCTTATAATCCAGTGACAAAAATAAACGGATAAATAAGTAAAACATTCAGTACATTAGATAATGTTAACTGCTAAGGAGAAAACAAGAGCAGGAAGGGAAGAAATGAAGGTTTGAGCGCAAGAAAATAAAAATTTAGGTAAACTGGTCAGGAAAGTCATCACTCAGAAAGTAACTCTGAATAAAGTTCAGAGAGAGAGAGAGAGAGGGACTCTAGGAATACTGGGAGAAGTATTCCAGCTCCGTGGAATAGAAGTGCAAAAGCCCTGAAACAAGAGGATGACTGGCATGTTCCTGGGCCAGGCAGGAGACCTGTGTGGCTGGAGTGGAATGTGCGAGGGGAATAGGAGTAGTAGACACAATCAAGTAAGATTTGGAGTTAAGATATAAAGTAACCAGAGGTGGGGACAGTCCTAAGTGGGGGAATGACATGTTCTGACTTAACTTTTAGCAGGACCACTCAGACAGGTTCAGAGAAAATAAGAATCAAAGTTGTGAACATTTGAAGTAGGTGGTTAAGAGATTTTAAATAGAAGAGAGGAAAGAGGTCTCAGGCTGGAGGTACACAGTAGGAGCATAAGTACCTGAGAGAGCACCCTGGTATCAGTGGAAAGATCCAAAGGTGAAGCTATGGGACAAGGGGCGGCAGATGTGGGACTAAGAGGGTGTGGCCAGAAAGATAAGGACAGATCAGGCACGTGCCCTGGAAGCTAAGAGAAGAGTGTGTTTTAATGGGAAGGAAACATGACAAATAAGATGAGACTGAGCAACCAAGACTAAGAAGTTATCATTAGCCTGGCTGGTATGGCTCCGTGGTTGAGCTTCAAACCCTGACCAAGAGGCCCTGGTTCAATTCCCAGTCAGGGCACAGGCCCGGGTTGCAGGCTCAATCCCCTAGTGGAGGGTGTAGAGGAGGCAGCTGATCAATGACGTTTCTCTCTCTATCCCTATCCCTTCCTCTCTCTCTAAAAATCAATAAAAACATATTTTTTTTAAAAAAGAAATGATCATTAAATTTAGCAACATGGAGGTCGGTGGTGACTTCAACAAAAGCAGCTTGCAAAGTTGACTGGGGTGGTGTCAGGAAGAATAGAATGAGAAAAAAAAATCACAAAGTATAGACAACAGCTGGAAGTAATTCTGCTATAATGTGGAGCTGAGGAATGGTTAGTCGCAGGGTAAAGACAGTGGTATGAAGAGACGTTACACCCTGCTTTAAGATGGGAGAGAAAACCTGCATGTCTACGGGCTCGTGTGAATGCTCTGATTATGCCAATGACACGAAAAGGGAAAAACTTATAACAGCAAGCCAGAGGGGACGGAAGGGACTCGGAGTCCATGCCTAGAAAGAAGAAGATAAGGGTCCAGAGGTACGCAGGTAGTAAATGTGACGGGAGCTACGGAAGTTATCTACCGTTCGCTTCAACCTCTTAGTCAAAGAGAAGAGAGATCGCCAGCTGAGAGTGCGGATGACAGAGGTTTTAGAGGAACGTCTGCAATGTGAAAGACACCTACGAGAGTGGAGGGGGGCTACACTCGGGTAACACAGCATAGGTGCCATGCAGTAAGAAGGGAGGTTGCCATGCAGCTGGAGGTTGGTAATCATGACCTTAAAGTGAGACCAGTAAGAATGGTCACAGATTTTTTTTTCTAGACACTGAACTGCACAGGTACAGGCAGTAATAATGGTGTCAACTTAGCAAAACTAGCGTAACAAAATGAGAGAGTTACGGAATTGAGGGAGCACTTATAAGGAGTGATGATCATTATTGTCCTTGAAATGTAGACTGGGTAAGGAGTAAAGAGATATGAGTGGAATGAGGGTCAGTGCAAAGATGGCTAGGATTAATGAGGTGAACGTGCTGATTCTTGACATCTAGAGAAAATTTATTCAATAGCAAGGGGACTCCTCTAATTCCTGCCCCATTGTGAATAGTTAGATTTCTGGGCTAACTGTTCTATTCTTTCTCCTCCAAAATGAGTTATGATTCTTCTATGTTCTTTTCCTTTTGAAATATCTAACTTATTCCAGCAGTAGCTTCACCATTTTTTAAATTTTTGATTTACAAAGTTGTTTTATACATTATAAATTTTTAAACAATTCATTTTAAGTTGGTTTAAATTGTCCAAATTACGTTAACTTTTCAAACTTACCAGCTACTAGTATAGGTAAAACCAACAAATGGCAGATGGTGGCCAGAAAACGCAGTATGTGTTGGTGGGGGCATCGTTTCCTATAGGAGATAAAAACTTCTGGTAAGAAATAAATAACTATGGCCTGTAGATTGGACTATAAATATTAACTGTCATTAGGCAATATGTGACTGTTCAATTTAGAAACCCTGGGAAGTTTGGAACAGATATTTAGGCGACATAATATTTAGACCATAAACACTGCTACTGTAAAATTCTAATAAAATGAAAATAAAGTCTGATATTGAATACAGTCATTTTTCATGAGGTCCATATTTGCAAATTTGCCCGGTCACTAAAATTTATCTGTAACCCATCAATATTCGCAGCACTTTAGCACAGCGGTCTCCAACCTTTCTGACCTCACGGACCACCAGCGTCTGTGGACCACCAGCTGGCGACCGCGGCTTTAGCAGACATGCACAGAGCAAAGGAAAGTCCAGGTTCCCCTACACATACGTTCCCAGCTGGAACTGAACAAGGGATGCTCGCCTTCTTACTTCATCCCTCAGACTGTAAACAAGTGTTCTTTGCAGGGTCTCAGTGCACCATGCTTGTCACATTTTTGTGCCTCTTCTGGGTGCTCTTGCTGTTAAACTGGCCCCCAAGCACAGTACTCAAGTGCCGTCTTGTTCCTAAGCGCGAAGGCTGTGTGAGGAGTCTCACCAAAACCTGTGTTCGATAAGCTTCATTCGGTCATGAGTTACAGAGCTGTTGGCTGTGAGTCCAGTGTTCATTAACCAACAATAGCTACTAAATATTAAGGAATCTTGAAATAGAAACACATATAAAACAAGGTTATGTATTTATCGGTTGACGAAAATGTCGACCACAGGCTCACAGGAACCTAACCCTACCTTCCCCTAGGGGCAATGGCTCAACATTCACTATTAGAGTGTGTACAGCAACTTCACTGAACATAACTACTAAGTAATCAGAATTGATTTAATTAGGAATGACTCACAGTTTCTGTTAGCAGTAAATATAGTTCCTGTAATAAAACACTGATGAGGAAAAGTCTATTTAATTCTTTTGTTCTGAGGCTGAGAAAGGCAAGTATAAGAGAGGTTCTTTTTTTTACTGAATTTATTGAGGTGACACTGGTTAATAAAGTTATATAGGCTTCAGGTGTACTTTCTATAATACATCCTCTGTATATTGTGTTGTGTGCTCACTACCCCAAGTCAAGTCTCCTATCACCGTTGATCCCCCCATGACCTCCTCTATCCCCTTACCCCCCTTTCCACCTCTGATAATGACCATATTGTTGTCTGAAGTGTTTTTGTGTTTATTATTGTTACTAGAGGCCTGGTGCACAAAATTCATGCACTGCGGGGGGCTGGGGGGGAAGGGTGGTGTCCCTCAGCCCAGCCTGTACCCTCTCCAATCCAGGACCCCTTGGGGGATGTTTAGGATCGGGCCTAAACCGGCAGTTGGACATCCCTCTCACAATCCAGGACTGCTGGCTCCCAACTGCTCGCCTGCCTGCCTGCCTGCCTGCCCCTAACCGCTTCTGCCTGCCAGCCTGATCACCCCTAAGCACTCTCCTGCCAGCTTTATCAATGCCTAACTACTCTCCCTTGCCGGCCTGATCACCCCCAACTGCCCTCTCCTGCCATCTTGTGGCTGTGGGCACCACCATCTTTGAGGGCGGGCAGTCAATTAGCATATTCCCTCCTATTGACTGTGGGCACTGCCATATTTGCGACAGTGTGAGGGTCAATGAGCATATTCCCTCTTTATCTGATAGGATTCCCTTCACCTTTTCACCCAGCTCCCCAGTATTCCCCCACCCCCAACAGCTGTCAGTCTGCTCTCTGTATCTATGAGTCTGTTTCTATTTTGTTTATTTCTTTACTTTGTTCACTAGATTTCACATATAAGTGAAGTCATCAGTACTTGTCTTTCTCTTATCTGCCCTGAATATGGTACTTACTGAACAGTGTAAAATGATATAAAATTAATATAAAAATTCTTAGGGCAGAATTAAAACCATAAAAACAATTGAATTAAAACAAAAAGTCAATTAAAAAGGCTAAAAATGCAAAAAACAACAATTTTATGTTCTTAGTTTTATAAATTCTAATTTGATAAAACATAATAGTTTAGGGCAGAGGTTGACAAACTATGCTGGCCTGTTTGAGTACTTCACACAGCTAAAAATGGTTGAGTATTTGGCTAACCTGCTGGTCTGCCAGTAGCCTCAAACAGGGCTAAAACCTCAGGATAGTAAGGCTGTAGATTTCCTTTACCCATTCATTTCCTACCAAGTTTGCCGTTTCTAGTGGCAATACCACTGGGTATGGGTTATTTAGCTTCCAAATCCAGGCAGCCCCCTGGCAGCAAAGCTGCTGGGTGTATAAGGAGCTAGCTGCAAGCTAGCAGCTCTCCTGCCCCACCCAAGCAGGCGGGGGGCGGGGGGGGAGGGGGCAGCTGTTTTTAACCAAGTTCAGTGGTTTTTCATGAATAGGTGCTTCTCAATTTATTTACCTTGGATTAATGTGTCAAGCCCCGAAATGGTTAACAATTTTATCTAATTTCATAGTGGATTTTAAGGAGAGATTTGCCATCATGAAGTTCAGTTTTTGAAGCATCTAAGTTGTCCTCTTCTTAGGAAACGTAAAGACATAACTAATCTAAGAAGTAAACCTTTGCATTTTGATTTTGCTCCTAGTCATGAGTAACTATGTTGGCGTCAGTACACTTTCTTGATTTCTTGAATCTGTGAATAAATACTAGAAGCCACAACTGTCTGACTGATGGCTGATAAGGTGGTCCATCAAGCTGCTTCAGAACCACGTTACAAAGAAACAGGGACAGATCTTCACAACGTCATACTCACCGAATTCTTTAAACAGTCATCATCCACGTCGAAGTTCGATGTGTCTGTTGGGCTACTGACTTCTGGAATATAAGGTGCTTCACAGTTTTGAATATTATCCCAATCAATTCCACTGAAAAATGGGTGTTTCTTAAAATCTTCTATTCCGTTTTGACCAAGTCGATGTTCTCTGCTACAGATGAGCCTGCGAATAAGATCCTTGGCATTTTCAGACACATCTGTCAGCTGAGGCGGAAACTGAAACCTCTCCTATACAGAGAGTAATGGAAACACATTATAAATCACCATTTAACTTACTAGAAGGAGGTTAACATTTATTTTCTTGAAAATGCATTTTCTTTTCAAAATATCTATAAGAGTATACTGATACAAAGTACAGACACTGAAGAAAATATGGGAATAAGTGAGAAAAGAATGTCTTCCTAAATAATTTTAATTTCATGTGTGACTAAGTCATACAGGCACTATATTAAGAATAAATTAAATGCTAAAATACCTTAAACTGATGTCAGAATCAAGAGAATTCATTAAAAATAGAATTTGCCTGGATATTTCAAGAGTACAAAGGGTTCATACAAGTCACATACTAATGATTAATAATAAACATTTTTTTAAAATGGAACATGTACTTGACACTATTGAAAGTGCTTTCCTCATTTAATCCTCACAGCAACCCTCTAAGCCGTAGGGGGGTAAGGGGAAGGTGCTTATTATTGTCCTAATTTTTACAGAGGAGGAAACTAGGGCACAGAACTCAAGCAACTGGCTCAAGGCCACAGGTTAGTAAGTGGCAGAGCTGGGATTTGACCTGAAACTGTCTTGACTCCAGCATCTGTGTTCTTAACCATCATGTTATAGTACAATGACTCCCCTCTGAAATGCTTTCATGCTTTCTACAGCTCTGTAGCTATTCACTGTCTTTCAACTCGTCACCACTATTTACCAGATTATCTTTGCAACCAGGTAGAAGAGCATAAATTCTGTAAAACTGGTTTATATATGTGTGAAGCAACTAATCATAAATGTGTCAGTAGAACCAAGTAAAAAGAATAGATTATCACTCCCTTTATGGAATACTCCTAGTCACAATCCAAGTGTTTGCAATTTCTCACAATTTTCTGAGACCGATCAATCTATTTCCATTTAAGTTGGTATTAAGTGGATTAAAGTTTTATTAATTCACTCCTGTTGTGCATCTGGATTATTTTCAATATTTGGTGATCGTAAATAATAGTAGAATAGGTATTCTGGTACATACACCCTTATTCTATGAAGATTTCCTGAGGGTAGATTACTGCAGCCGAAGTTGGTCAATCAAAAGTTCCAAACATTTAATCAACCAAAGACCTTTTATCCATAACCCATGGACACAGACAATAGGGTGGTGAAGGCCTGGGGTGGGGGCATGGGAGGGTTGGAGGTGGGGGCAGATTGGAGGAGGTCAATGGGGAAAAAAGGGGACATATGTAATACTTTCAACAATAAAGATTTTTTTAAAAAGTCCCAACCATTTTTAAAGACTCTAGATGCAATCTTATAAACTTCTTGACGGAAAGGTTACATCAATTTATATTCATATCAATAATGTCCATCTAGCCCAGCTGGCATGGCTCAGTGGTTGAGCGTTGACCTATGAACTAGGAAGTCATGGTTCAATTCCTGATCAGGGCACATGCCGGTTGTGAACTCGATCCCCAGTAGGGGGCATGCAGGAGGCAGCTGATCAATGATTCTCTCTCATCACTGATGTTTCTATCTCTCTCTCCCTCTCCCTTCCTCTCTGAAATCAATAAAAATATAATTGAAAAAATAATGCCCATCTCACTGGATTATTTAAAGTACAAAGTACAATTTTTCTTTTAATCTTTATCAATTTGACGGGGGGAAAGTATCTTATTCTTATTTTTTTTTAAATATATTTTATTGATTTTTTACAGAGAGGAAGGGAGAGGGATAGAGAGTTAGAAACATTGATGAGAGAGAAACATTGATCAGCTGCCTCCTGCACACTCCGCACTGTGCCCGCAACCAAGGTACATGCCATGACCAGAACTGAACCTGGGACCCTTCAGTCCGTAGGCCGATGCTCTATCCACTGAGCCAAACCAGTTAGGGCTCTCATTCTTATTTTAATTTGCATATCATTTATCACTGTAGTAATGATTAAAAAATATCTGCTTATGATCTTTGTTATTCTACTAGAAACCATTTAATTTCCTACTTATTACCTTCTCCTCTAATAAAATATAGTAGAGGGTTAGAACCAATAATCTTATGTAGAGTTAATGGACTTTGATTATTCATGTTTGTCATGTTCCCTATTAGCAGAGAAATTAGATCATATACTGTTTTTAGAAAAATATTTTGTTTAAATATCATATTCACTTTATTATATATATTATTTACATCAATTTGAAAAATAGTAAAGTATACTAACTTTGTGATTCATGATTTTTCCATATGTCTCCACCAGAGACTCTGCATAAAACGGTGTTTCTCCGTAAAGCATTTCATACATACAGACTCCCAACGACCACCAGTCACACTCGGGCCCGTATCTGCCTTTTCCATCTTCCATGGCTTGCAGGATTTCAGGAGAGATATAATCTGGAGTCCCAACAGCCACTGAGGACTGAACCTGAAGAAATTCACACTTTTAGCAACCTCCTATACTAGAAACAAATAATTTTGAAAGTATTTACATGTGTTTACACAATAGACAGTATCTCAAAACTATAATTTTGTCATTATCTGAATTTAGTTTCCTTGTACATATACATTTTACATAATCTCTACACCAGGGGTCCTCAAACTTTTTAAACAGGGGGCCAGTTCACTGTCCCTCAGACCGTTGGAGGGCCGGACTATAGTTTAAAAAAACACTATGAACAAATTCCTATGCACACTGCACATATCTTATTTTGAAGTAAAAAAAACAAAACGGGAACAAATACAATATTTGTATTTGCATGTGGCCCATGGGCCGTAGTTTGAGGACCCCTGCTCTACACTAATAGTTCTTCAGATTTTATAATATTATAAAACCTTTATTACAGCTGTTACTGAATTGACACATTTAGGGTAACAATATAGGATAAACACCACAGCCAGGAAATTCAATATTTATTTTCAAACATTCTTTTTTTTTTAACTGGTATTTTTTTGCATTGGAAGAAATTCACAATTGATTCATATATAATAATGTCTACTGCCTTTGTTCCATCAGATGTAGTTAGAACATTCTTATTATTGATAATCTGCCTAACATGTATACATAAAAAAATGTTTACAATTAGTTACGGGAGAAAACCGCCCAAAAAAACTTGGCTGATACTTATCAGTTACCTGGAGATCATTTTTAAATACCTTAATGAAATCCTAAGGAAATAAATTATAATGATGTCCTGCAAACTACTTAATTTAAAAATTATATAAAAGGAAAAATATATCCTTCAAAAAATAAAGTTCCGATAGAGAAAAATAGTTGGACATATAATTAAGGCAAGTTAGATGTAAATTAGAAAGTGATAGCTAAAAATGATCCTGGGAACAATTTTGTAAGAAGCTTTCAATTAAAAGAAAATTGGTTCCTTGTAAGATTTAAAAGAACTTATCAAAAAAGGAACATTCTTAAGGCAGAATTCTGGTTAACATTCTGAGTTTCCTGGACTAAATTACCAGTCTTAGTAATTATTAGAATAGACTATCTCTGGCAATACTGAGATTAAGTAATTTGAAAACTCCTCCATTCCAAACTCTTAAAAATACTAGATAAAATGTAAAAACCTTTTAAAATAAACATATACATAAGCGTTTAAAAAAAGAACTCTTTGGGGCCAGAAATTGAGAAATGGTGGAGAACCTGGGGTGGTAAGCATTAAAGCAGGAGGGGGGTTGGGGAGCTGTTAGTTTTCACTTTCTATTACTTGGATTTTAACGTGAGGACAAAGGAAAGGCGTTGAGCATTACATGAGGTTTGCAGTGAGAGGTTGCCCATGTAACCTTTACCCCGGAGAGTACACTGTAAACAAAAAGCTGAATTTCAAAACCCTGCCACTCAGCAGAGAAGATAAGACTTTCTGCCCATCTTGATTGCAGCTGAGGTGTGAAGAAACTTCCTCCTCCAGAAGTCCATAACCTTAGGTCACATGGTCCTACCGCCTGGCATTTTGGTTTACAGAGCTTCCATGGTCCAGACGTTCTCGAGCCAACAAACTGGCAAAACTACTGGCACCATATTAGGTGCCCCAGAAAGCCTGGCATAACAAACTTAAAACTACTCCGGAGGCACATGCTCACAGATGGTCACACAGGATTCTCACACATAAACGCCCACCGAAGAAGAGCTGCCAACCCAATCACATAACCTAAATGAGTAATATCCCATTACGAGCAAGTCAGAAATTTCTGACCAATACACTTAGACTCCTAACAAGTATCAGTTCCACGTCATGAAATATTTTTAACTTTCTGACATTTCATTTTTTAATCAAAAGCGTAAGAACAAAATGATGAAAAAATCAAATCAAATAGAAGTCCTAGAAATAAAAGTCATTAAAATGAAAAATACAGTAAATATGTGAAAGATATGAAAAGATAAATAAAACCAGATACACGTTTATATACACTGTAGTTAAAAACTACAGAGCACCAAAAAGGAAGAGATTAAAACATTAAAGAATAAAGAGAGATTACCTAGCAAGGAATGAGAATTAAACTGACAGCTGAATTATTAATGCTAACATAGCCGTCAGAAGAAAATGGAACTGTTTCTTCAAAGTGACGAGACAAAAGAATTGCCAAAATTATATTCCCTACCTCTCTACATTATGATACAAGAATGAGGGTTAAATAAAGACATTTTCACACAAAGACTGGGTGAACTACCACATGTAGACCCTTTCAGATAAACAGAAGCATTAAAGAACATACTTCATAAAATAAGAAAGTTAAACCAGATAGAAGATATGATACCAGAAGCAATGGTGAACAAAGACATTAGTTAACTTTGTAACTTTTACAATTAGCAAAACTGTGAACAAAGTTATTAGTGATGAGGAAGAAAGGGAGGAAAGGAAAAGGAGTAGGAGGAGGAAGTGGAGGAGCAGCAGAAGGAAAAGAAGGTGGCAGAGGAGGAGGAAACTACTTGAACACTGAAAGTGAGGTGAAACTAAAATCCTAGAAACAAGAACCTGTCACTAAGGGTGCAATTAGGATTGAAATGGTCTAAGTTTCTTGAAGTGGTCTAATGTTTATGTTATTACACATTATCTTTATTTACTTTTTAATTATTATTTTTAATTGTGGTAAAATACTCATACCATAAAATTTACCATCATAACCATTTCCAAGTGTACAGTTCAGTGGCATTAAGTACATTTACACTGTCGTGCAGTTATCACCAACATCCATCTCTAGAACTGTTCATCGTTCAACACTGAAACTGTACCCATTTTTAATTTATCTATTTATTTGTTAATGGACACCTAAGTTACTTAAATTCCTTGGCTATCCTATATAATTAAAGCCTAATATGCTAAGTGTCTGGTCAGCTGTTCAACCAATCAAAGCATAATATGCTAATGATATACTAAGGGTGCTCAACCACTCGCTATGATGTGCACTGGCCACCAGGGGGCAGATGCTCCGAACAGCAGGTTAGCTTGCTGCTGGGGTCTGGCAGATCGGGACTGAGCAAGACTGGCTGGACACACCCTGGAGCCCTCCTGCGGTCCCTCCTTGGCTGCCTAACCTCCTGCGTCCCTCCCCAGCCCTGATCGTGCACTGGTGGGGTCCCTTGGCCTGGCCTGCACCCTCTCACAATCCAGGACCCCTCAGGCAATTAAAAAAACACACACAAAACTTAATTAAACATTATAAAAGGAGTCAAAAAACAGTGTGTGATGATAATTTAATTATTATCTGATGCAATTTATTCCATGGATCCTTAGAATAGTGTTTTTCTTAATGTCTTTTTCTGATGTATTG